TAAAAGCATAATATGCTAATTAGACCAGACAGCTGAACGACCTTCTGGACAAAGCCAGGGCTGCGAGGGCCAAGCCCCTTGCACGAATTTTGTGCATTGGGCCTCTGGTCTTTTCATAAAAGCTTTATATAACATGCCTAAAACTGGGTCCAATGGGTTGAAATTGCATAAAAATAACAGGAAAATAACAGGAAACCGAAACTCAACCCCCACTTCCCTCCTCTTCTTATCAATTTAGATGAAAAAAGAGCACACGAAATTGTATCAATGATTTCCTCTGGCTGCCATTTTCCATGGCTTACATCCGTTGAGTCTATGGGTTAGAAAATTTTGAAAAACAAGAGACAAAATTTGACTTTGTGTAATTTTTTCTTTTGGAGACATTTTGGGCACCTCTGTGTACATGTTAGGATAATAGAGGTGAACAAAACAAAGAGGATCCTGGAAAGAAAAAGAGAGTGTGTGTGTGTGTGTGTGTGTGTGTAAGTGTGTACACACACGTGTGTGCAGGGGGCTGGAGAAGATGGCAGAGAAGGACTGGAAGTATTTCCCAGTGTAAACATTAAAGGTTTAATTTTTGCAAAGCAGCTTTTCTGGTGAAATATTGCTGACTGTATTTGGAAGTTGATAATATAATTCACTTCTCCTCTGGGCATTGTGGGTATACTATGATTTTCTTGGTTGAAATGCCTCCCTCCCCATCCCAGAATAGTAGAAAGACTGAATAATTTCATATTGGACACTTTCCCTTTCAGGGAATAATTTAAGCGCTACCATATGTCTTCTTATTTCGTCCTTCTCCTGTCTCTCTCAAACCACTGGGCTTTGAAAATGGAAAGACAACACGAAGACGGAGGAACACACTGGAGGGGTGTGTGTGTGTGTGTGTGTGTGTGTGTGTGTTTGTGTGTGTGGTTTAAAATCACTCTGTGGTGATGGCCCAATCACTGGGCCACGGTAATTACCCAGAAAGGTGTTCGCAGATATGCTCCACTGAAGGGGAGTGATAACAACCTTCAGAAACTGTTTAATCCCCAGGAACTGAAATCGGTCGGATGGCGGCGCACGGCTGGAAGGAATAATCGCTGAAATTAGACCCGAGGAGGAAGCATGCTCGCTCTCAGCCGGTGGCGTCCCAGCAGCTCAGATCCAGGTACTCTGCCTCATACCTGAGATGAATTCTGGAGAATTCCCCTCCGTCACAGCTCGCTCCGGGCACGCCTGGCGGGTCGGAGTCTCTCCCGCACGCTGTGTGGCATTGTTGTCCCCGGCGGCAGCGGGGAGCTGCCAGGTTCCCAGGAGCAGAGCCTGTGTCTGAACCCTCGGTCAGTCTGGAAACCAGGCTGGTCACCTGCGCGCTCAGGGCTCCCTGCCTGGTCCCCGCACGAGGAGTCACGCAGGGAGCCTGACTCCCGCCGGCAGTGCGGAGGGGAGCTCAGATCCGAGGCTATCCATGTCCTTTGCTTGAAAAGCCCAGAGACTCTAAGTACATTCATGTCAGATTATTCAGGAAGCCTCTTATCTCATAGAAAAGCTGATCAACTGATGTAAATTATCAAGAGATTTATTTCCAAGATCCTTCGAAATAGAAGAGCATTCTTATGGGCCTGTAGCACTTTCTAAGCTTCACCCAGCATTCTTTAACATCCTGCCATCAAGAACAGCAGTCCAGCCCTAGACGGTTTGGCTCAGTGGATAGAGCATTGGCCTGCGGACTGAAAGGTCCCAGGTTCAATTCTGGTCAAGGGCATGTACCTTGGTTGCGGGCACATCCCCAGTGGGAGGTGTGCAGGAGGCAGCTGATGTTTCTTTCTCTCTCATCGGTGTTTCTAACTCTCTATTCCTCTCCCTTCCTCTCTGTAAAAA